TGAATATAATAAAGGTGTTCTTTCTTCTGGGGTCAAACATCCTCTTATTCTCTCATTTTATCATCTCCATTTGGAATTCTAAAATATTAGACCCTCTACCTCAATTTTAAAAGTTTCTCAACCTTTCTTTTTCTTTATCATCCTAGGCCAGTAGTGGGCAAACTGTGGCTCGTGAGCCACATGCAGCTCTTTGGCCCTTTGAGTGTGGCTCTTCCACAAAATACCATGGCCTGGGTGAGTCTATTTTGAAGAAGTGGCATTAGAAGAAGTTTAAGTTTAAAATATTTGGCTCTCAAAAAAGAAATTTCAATCGTTGTACTGTTGATATTGGCTCTGTTCACTAATGAGCTTGCCGGCCACTGTCCTAGGCCTATTCTTCAGGTCTATTTTCCAGATTACTAATTTCTTTCCTTTAACATGTCTAACTTTTTAATACATCCATTAAGCTTTTAATTTTACGTTTAATATTTTTCATGCTTGAAATTCTATTTTACCTAATATGACTCATCTTTTTATAGTCTCTTGCTTCTTATTCATATTTTAAAGGTGTTAAAATTTTTATTTAAATATATTAAACAACTTATTTTATATCATGTGCCTGATAGATTCAATATATGAAGACTTTGTGGATCAAATTTGGCTGTCCAGTGCTTTTGTTGGTATTTGCTCTGGGTGCTTTCTTTTATCCCTATCTGTGTGTGTGTGTGTGTGTGTGTGTGTGTGTGGTTTTAAGTGACTGCATATTCCTTGGAACTCTAGCTGTGGGAAGTCTGTTGCCTGAGTTAAAGGGGTCTTTCCCCAGAGAGGACTTATATACACTTTGCAGATGCCTAAGAATTTCCAACAATATCAAGCTAAATACTATTCTTGAGGTTTTCTGGACTAGGAAGTATTTTGATTTTAAGTTATAAATCCCAGGAAAAGATTCACAGAGGACATTTTTTCCTATCTTCCCAGCAGAAGATTGAGAGGGTGAGGATGGGAGTATTTCTAATTCATCTTTATACTGAGATCACTGGCCTATGGAATCCCAGCTTGATGAGAGCTGTGTGTGTGTGTGTGTGTGTGTGTGTGTGTGTGTGTGTGTGTGTATAGAGAGAGGAAGGATATGTTGTTACACTCTTTATCTTGGGAGAACCTTAGGCTTTGTATTCTGTTCCTGTACTATATGAAAATGAGAAAACAATCCTGAAGTCACCAGATTCTTCAAATAGAACAGACTCAGTTCTTTTGGTTCCTACTTTCCCTTAAGTATTGGTCTCTGTATTAGTTTCCTTGGGCTTTGATAAAAAGTACCATAAACTGGGTCACCTGAAAACCCAAAAATGTATTCTCTCACAGTTCCAGAGGCTAGAAGTCTAAAACCAGGTATTGGCCATGCTCCCTCCAAAACTTCAAGAGAAGAAACTGTCCTTGAAAGAAGGATCCTTCTTTAAGCTTCTGGTGGCCTTAGGCATTCCTTGGCTTGTGCCTCCATCTTCTTGTGGCCACCTTCCCTGTGTGTCTCTCATACAGGCCCTGTAATGTTGGATTAGGGTTCATCCTAAATCACTTCACCTTAAGCTAATTACATCTGCAAAGTCTCTGTTTCCAAATAAGATCATATTCACAGGTACAAGGGGTTAGAACTTCAGCATATTTTTGAGGGGGTGCAATTCCACTCATAACATTTGTCTAACAATTTCTTTTTAAAAAAATATATTTTTATTGATTTTTTTTACAGAGAGGAAGGGAGAGAGATAGAGAGCTAGAAACGTTGATGAGAAACACCGACCAGCTGCCTCTTGCACACCCCCTATCAGGGATGTAACTGCAACCAACTTACATGCCCCTGACCGGAATCGAACTGGGACCTTTTAGTCCGCAGACCGATGCTCTACCACTAAGCCAAACCGGTTTCGGCTGTCTAACAATTTCTTAATTCCTTGCCAGTTCTCAAATGCTTTCTTATGTATCCTAGCACTTTCATAGCCATCAATTATATAATCGTTATGAATTCTACACAACATCAGCTCTTACTTCCCACTCTTCATTCTGCTTGGCCATAGCAGCTCTTTGCCTTCTCCCACTAAGTTGTGGACTTGAAAATCATAAGTTTTTAAAAAAAAACATATCAGAAATGATTGCAAGGTAAGAATAAGGCTTTAAATGGGAACTCAGCAGACAGGATAATGAATAAAGTAGAAGGTAATTGCTGCAAGGACATTGTAATACCTTTTTTTTTTTTTTGATGTTATAAGGGCTTTTATCTCTAGATCTCTGTGGTATATCTATCTAGTCTTTCAAATCATAAAAACCTGGGGTTGAACCCTTTCTCTACATCTTAGAAATTGTATGACCTTGAGATGAAATGTAAGCTCTTAATTTCACAATTTCATCATCTGAAAAAAGGAATATTATAATAGCAGCTATTTCTGAGAGTGTTTTATAGATGGATGGCATAAGTAAAGTGCCTAGCACAATCGCTGGCACAAAGCAGGTACTGAATAACTGTGCAAATGACACTACTTCTGTGTTTCAGATGGGTAAGGACCTTGAATAATGAACTCTGACTAAATGAGGTGAGAAAAGCAATGTCTGTCATTTTCATACACAATCCTATGGGGTAATTGACGGGAAATCCTAGAAGAGGAAAGTGAGGTTTAGACGTGTTAACTCAAAAAACATGAAAGAAAAACACTAACGACCACACAAAATGTGGAAGTCTATTTTAGAGATTCTCAGCAGTTCTGTATTCTTCTTTTTTTTTTTAAAATATATTTTATTGACTTTTCACAGAGAGGAAGGGAGAGGGATAGAGAGTTAGAAACATCAATGAGAGAGAAACATCAATCAGCTGCCTCCTGCACACCTACTGGGTACATGCAACCAAGGTACATACCCTTGACCAGAATCGAACCTGGGACCTTTCAGTTCATAGACCGAAGCTCTATCCATTGAGCTAAATCAGTTTCAGCAGTTTTTTATTCTTTACAAAGGGTACTAGAATGCAAACGAACTAGCCCCACCTCTGTTCTCAGCTCTGACAGCTAACAAGTTGCTGGGTACATGCTTTAAAAGCCACCTTTCCTTCAACTCCGATGATACTTCATCTCCATAAAGTAGGAGGGAAGAGTTGAAGGAAAAAACCAGCCAGACAACATTTTGCACTATATTTTACAGCCTGAACACGGAACCACTCAAAGATTTTTAACAAATATTTGAAAGGCTTACTTAGGCCCATGCTCGGAACAGATTTATAACCTAGGCAAGGGAAAGCCAGAAATCTCCCATCACTCCCATTGACTCACAGACGTGTTGGAAGCAGAGTTCACAAATCTAATTCCTTCCTCCGTTACAGATATTTTTACCCAGAGAGCATATGTGACTAGAGGCTAACCTGCTCGCTCAGCCAATTCCTGGCAGCAACTCCTAGTGCAAAATATAATGTTTGGGGCAAGCACTTATCCAGGAGCGGTACTGAAATGAGATGGTGAGGACGCAAGTGGCGGATAAATGACCAGTGTAGGGAGAGCTTTAAAAATGAGGTGATTATGCAGGCACTGTCCCCTCTATGAATATATTAGCTCCCCAATAAGCCCGTGCATTTGACTGCCTCCAAAGCACTGTCTCAGGCTCAGGGAATACAGTTGTCAGGAAGTGTTTTCTAAGCTCTTCTTCAAAGAAGCTGCTCCTACTGCCAGGCCTCAAAGTCCTAGTGTTCAGTCTGGCCAACAGGTTCAGCTCACACAGTGCCTGTCAGGCCACTGCAGGTGATGTGAGATGCCCAGTCTCCCCTCAGGGCACGTTGGAGGATGTGCAGGACCAGGAGACTGTCCAATAGGTGGGAGGGCTAAGGGGGTCAGAGTTGACAGGAAGGTATGTCAAAGCTGGAGTCCTTGAGTGGGAACTGAGTATTAGAAACTGGAGATACCAGGTACAGACAGACTCTAAGGCCAAAGGTGTCAGAGTGGATCACCAGTAGGAGCCAGCCAGGTATCGGTGCAGTGTGCATGGGGGGCTGACAGTGAGGAGGTACATTTTGATTGCCATGAACACTAGTAGGTCTTCTCCAAAGGCTGGCAAGCCTGCAGTGCATGGATGTGTCAGGCTGCTTAAAGATCCCCATGGAGAGGACAGTGGGGACCAGTGAAGGGACCAACCACAGCTTGAAAGTTCAGTTTTTCATAGGACCATAACCTAGATAGAGGCATGGGCCTTCCCCTAGGACCAGGTCCTGTGTTGTATCCATCATCCCATTCTTGCCAACAATCAGGGGACCTGTGCATCCCATCAGACATGGGGAGGGGTTCGTTTTGGAATTATCTTTTCATGGGCCAAGGAAAGGGGCAGAGCCCGGAAAATGTTTCTCTAGGATGATAAATTAAATGGTGTGTATTAAGGGTTCACACCTTGCAGTGATAGCTATGAAGGGCCCTATGCTTTGAGGTGGGATTGGGGCCACCTTCAGAAAATAGTTTGAGGCATGAACTGGCTTGATGGTCGACCAGCATGGAATGTTTTGCTGTTTATACTCCATGAGTTTATTTCCCTGTAGCTCTCTCTTGACAAAGTCTTTAGGAAAGGTCTGTGAGCCACTATGAAGAAGACAGAGAATATCAGAGTGAGAGATCCCAAGGGAAGGTAACTCTGAAAGTCAGTCTTGTTCATCCAGCCTTTGATGCCTGCACCTGAGCACAACTTTGCTCACCTCGGAGGAGCATATGTTTGATTTTAACAAAGAGGTTGTTCCTTTGAGTTGGGAGCTCAACTCTTCCATGTCCACACCCCTAACCATGAAGTTTCTGATGTCATTTTCTTCCTAAAAATTCTGTAGATCCCATCCTGTGTCTCTGTCTCATTCCAATCAGCATTGATTGCATACATATAGACCAAGCGTAGTGAATGGACATTCGGAATCAGTACATGACCCTCAACCTTGAGCTCCATTTCTCCACCCCCTAGATTCACCCACCCTTTGGGGAGCTGAGCCAAGCCCTATGGTGAGAATCCCTGCTCACCCTGATCCCAAGCTCGACGTTCTCGCCTCCATAGACCTCCATGCCTTCGTCCAGTAAGCCAATCTCCTGGAAGTACTGGCGGTCCACAATGAAGCAGCCAATGAGGGCGGGGCTCCTGCAGGGGTGAGGGGAGATGGGCCAGGTTAGTAGAGGGGCTGTTCTCACGGTTCTGCCAAGGGAATGAGAGCAGTGGTACCTTCCCACCAGGAGGAGCTGGTCCTTTTCCTTCCTTTGCTGCCAAAGCTGGTGCAGAGATCATTCTCTGAGTGGTCCTCCCAGGTCTACCCTCACCAGCTACCTCAAGGAGGCTATTTCAGCAGGGTTGCAGCAGCCAGCTCCTGTCCCGGGACCAGCCATCAGTCCCCCTGGTGCTTGTGTTTGTGTTAGCCCACAGAAGTGGTGCTCAGCCTGCCAGTCTGAGTTGAACGTCTGTATCTATAGTTGCCCTGGTCTTTGAACTTTGAACTGCACAGCCAGTCTCTGTTTCTACCCGATTACTCTGCCAACTTTCCCACCCTTCCCCAACTTGGGTTCTGCATGCCAGCCTTGGTCCACTTAGAAAAGTTAGCTGGGGCTTTGGCTAGCATGGTAAATAATTTGGATTTTATCTATAGATAAAGGAGTGTCCATGAGAAATTTTAAGTAGACAGTGATATGAGCTGATATGAGTTTTTAAAGATCTGTGTTTTAATTCTCAGGCAACTGAGGGAAGTCAGGTTGTAGGAGACTGGATGGAAATTAGGACTCCAGTTAGGAAGCTTGTTGCTATATCCAGGTAGCCCTGGAAATGATGAGGACCTGGGCCAAGAGTGGAAATAGGGATTGTCTAAAGACATATTTTACTATAAAATCAGCACAAATTTGAAATAGATAAACTATGAAGGTAAAAGCAAGGGAGTAATCTGAATGGCAGCTGGCTTTCTGGCTTGGGTGATGGTGGGGTGGGGCCACACATCAAAATTGGGTACAGAAAAGAAGCTGGCTTTAGAATCAAGTATTCCTTTCTGGGAACACTGATCTAATGTGCCCATGGGACTCTGCAGAGAGACATCCAACAGATAGAACAGCTGGTCTATCAGAATTCCGCATGGGTCTTAGGCTGGAGCTACACACCCACAGTTAGTAGGTCCAGCAGCTGGAAGGCCTTTCCCTGGTGAGCATGAGCGTGGGCTCACCGGCTGTGTGTGGATACCCAGCACGGAACTTTATCAGGAGTGATCCACGTTAGGTGAACCAGCCTGAGGGTGTGTGGGCTGCTTCTCTGCTGGAAGCAATGACTCTGCATTGTTCCACTGCACATAGCTACCATTTCTAGTCCTTGGCTAGCAACCTATCAGCTGGTGGCTGAAGGATGCAGAGGGAAAGAGAAAAAAAAGGAGAAATGAAGACTCTTCAGCAATGAGAAAACTGGTAGTCACATGCAAATAGATCCATCTTTGAAACTGGAAACTCATCCATGTGGGGACACAGCTATTTGGAGGGCTATGTCTTTGGAGAAGACTGATGCCAGAAGCTGCTCAGGTGGAGATGGGTGCTTGGGGGTCGCTGCCCCTCCTCCTTTCAATCACAGCATTTTATTCTGACTGGCTTCACTGTCCCTAGATCACAGGTACTTAGGGTGGTCAGTCCACCTCAACCACTTCTCCTAAAGCTGAGTGAGTTCCTGCTCCGGTGGGAGATGCTTGGCCCTGGTTTTGGAAGTGAGTGCCTTGGAAAAAATCCCCGTTATGGCTGTTTCTTTGAGAGATATCCCTAGCCTCTTTCAGCCTCTGATTCCATATCTATGAAATAGAATCAACTATATATAACCTCACAGGATGAAATTAAGTATTGAAATCCTCTGGAACATAATTGGAACTCAAAAGATCTTTTTAAAAGATGCACTTGCCCGTTACAAAAGCCCAGAGAATCCCCTCTAAATCATGGTGACATAAGACATCAGCCCAGCAGGTGGGCAGAGTGGGTACTCAGCCTTTCCCTGAGCATTTCTTCAGTGCTGAACTGAGCTGGCACTGCTGGACATTCAGGGCGGAGCCCTCCCCATCTGGCCAGACCCAGTGAGGGAAAGAGCACAGCCATCTCAGGCAGTCCATTACCTATTAACCAGCGGGGGTATTAAGTGGGCTCAATCAGTCTGAAACTTGTATTGATTTATACCTTGTCTCATCCCCCCCCAAATTAGAAATAGCTTACAATAAAAATGTAAAACACAATGGAAAAGAAAATAGATAAGTGTCTGAAAAGATTAAAAATTCACCATGAAGTTGGGGGCTAGTTAGAATGCATGTGCGGCATTAGGTCCTTCTTCATGGTTCGTAAAGTGGATCCACAAAGTAGACTCTGAGCTTCTGGGGGGCTGAGCTGAATGTGAACATACCTGGTCCTAGAAATAATATTTTCAGGCCCCATGTGGAAATATCATACTAATTCCTCAGGGATAGCAAGGCTTTCTTTGACTGGCAGTGAATTTGAAAGAAATCTCTTCTGTCAGTCTTTTTTAAGAGGTCAGTCACTTCAGGACGCAGTGAAAAGCCATCTCAAAGACACACCTGCAGAACGCAGCAGAAGGTACCTCTGAGCCCTTCCTGCAGCTTATGCCGTGTGTGGACAAAGCACCGAAGTACAGCCCAAGGACACAGGGGCCCAGGTGGGCATGATACATTTATATAACCCACAGCTTTCTGCGGGGCTGTCTTTATCTAGGGATAAAACCAGGAATGTTTTCTCCACTAATATACTTTCTCCCAGCCAAGGTCTTGCTAAGAAGCAGGGAAAGAAAAATTGGAGAGTGAGACGCTATTTTTGTGAAGGACCTAGAATGTGCGTTTCCAGAGACCAGGCTGAAGCGGCTAACACTGGTGTGGGCTTCTGTAAGAATACTTGTTACATGGTGGGGTATTTCCCTCCAACAGTCAACAGACCTGGGGCAGAATTCAGCCATCCCAGGCCGGAGCTCAAGCGGGGAGTGATTAGGGGGATGACAACTAGGCATGGGATTGAACTGACCTGGGTTTGGGTCCTGGCTCCACTGGCCAGAGCCTCTGGCAGGGCCATTCTCCTTGGTCGGCCTTACTCTCCTCTTGTGAACCAGGGGTGACACAATGAACCAGGGGTGTCACCAGGTTATGGTGAGGAGCAAATAAGACCATGTGGGTAAAAGGTCCTTGCACACAGGGGCCTCCAAATAACACAAAATTGTGGCAGGGGCCTTAACAGATAGGTAGTAGAGATGAGCACAGAGAGCCAGGTGGAATTCTCTTCCATCCTGTTTTAATTATAAATATAATGTGTGTTTTTTCTTCTGGCAATCACACACTCTCAATTACATTTTTCATAATCTTCCTTCCTCATGTAATACAAAGTGACATCAAGTGTCTAATCTCTCTCATTCCAGGTACTGTCCCCTAGGCCACCTTCTGGTGTGTCTGTGCATTTAACAGGCAGCCCCTTTGCAGGGAGCACAAAGGCACCTGATCTGTGATTAAGCAGGCGGAAACAAGGGCTTGTGGGCACAGCTGTTTCAGGAGTCCTGATTCATAAAACAGGCTGCACAGGGGGGTCATTTGGGGGTCTGTGAAGGTAGCAGCAAAGGCTGAAAGGGATTGGGACCTTTGAAATGCAGTTTGAAGCTCCTTTCCTCTGAGTCCTGAAAGATAAGCTCAAACATCAGCAAGGCACATGGGGTGCGGTGAGGTCTGCTCCTGCCCCTCCTTCCCTCCAGCCTCGAGGCCTCAGGCTGCTCCCTTTGAACCTGCTCTGTGCTCAGGAACTCACTCTGCTCCCTCACATATGGATGCCTCCGGCCTGAGCCTGCGATCTCCTACTTGCCCTTAGAGACAAGGGCAGATGCTACACTCTCAGCGAAGGATTCTCCCTACTTTCCTTGCGGTTTCCACCAGCGTGGTGGAATAATTTGTTATTCCAATTACTGTGTCTGTCTTTACTCAACTTCAGGATTTTGCTGGCAGGAATTGAATCTTAATCATTCTGGATCCCAAGCACCCAGCGTAGATAGTCGTTGGCTCCCAGCGTAGATAGTCGTTGGTGCCCCACAGCGATGTGTTGGAATGAGTAACTGTGAGCCTCTGAATGAATCTGGGAGCCATGGCTCTTTGAAAAGAGACCACAGAGCCAGTGAGCAGTGATTGGAGGTCACTTGTAATTCCTTTCCACCACCGCTCATCTCACTCTACTCCCCACCCCCCCAAACCCATAACGGACCGGAGTTTGGAAAATAAGGGTTGTGCTGGGAGGGGAGTTCTTGCCCTGGAGGACGAGGCAGAGAGATCACAGGTAGGGATGCCATACCTGATCGGGGCTGTGGAGTTCTCCAGCTTCCACCATGCCTTGGGGGGGTTTAGGTAGCGGCACCACAGCTCCCAGTCAAAGCCCTGGGCTGCCAGTGGGTACTCTTCTATCTCAAAGTTGTCATATTTGATGTTGTCAAATGATGGTGAGATGATCCGCTTCCGGTTCTCCTTTATGCGGGTAAGGACAGGTTCAGCCCTGAGCCGGAGGATGGGAAGGAAGGGTTACTGCCTCCAAGGTGAAGAAACACCAAATTGACAGCTCCTAAAGCTCCCTCCCCTGTGGAAAGAGCGCTGCTCTCCTCCTGGGAAGGGGCCCTAACCGCCTCCCACCCCATGCTTCTGGGCTGGCAAGAGGCCCAACCACTTCTCTAGCACCTTCTGGGCTGAGCTGAGAGATTCTTAGTGCCTTACATCCTTGGGTCTGCTTGCTTTCATTTTTTTTTTCACTAGAAAAAAAAAAAAATCAAGACCTAAAGAAAGAAGAAAGAAACAGATCTGAAGTCCCCTGGGAAGCTTTCAACATGGGCTTTGATTTTGCTCAAATTCAGCGCATTAACTAGGAAACCGAGGCAGATGAAGATGGTAGAGACAGGAATGAGAACAAACATCCTTCATGCTGCCTGGATCCTTCCGTTTGTGTCCCCACAAACCCCACCCACCCCACATGTTTGCCTTTGCCCAAGGAGAGGTGGCAGGTCTGGCTTCCAGGGAGCCAGAGGCCCCCTTATGGGCAGCAGACAAGTAAAGTGTTTGCAGAGAGTAATGATAAGCTTCTCATTAATAATGAATTGTTGCATAATTGTTTATTTAAATCAGCTTGAAATAGTAAGAGTCCCACTCCTTTCCTGGCTATAAATCCAACAAAAATGCCTTATAAATAGTCACAAATGGCAAGCAGGGACTTCAGCTGTGAAAAACGGCCGCATTGCAATCTTAATTTGGCCTGTTATGTAAAAGTCTGCCCAAATCCAGGCATGCTGTGTGCACGCCCGGCTGCTCCTTCCTGCTAAATGGCACTCTTCACCCCACTCCAGAGCGGCAGGGTGGCACCTGGAGTCTGGGAGGAGAGCAGACCCAGAGCCATCAGGCATAGTGGTCAGGAGGGGGGTACCCTCAGCCACGCCCAGTGCCTGGTCCTCCCATGCCCAGGCTCTCTGCACAGTCACACACAGTGGGCCACAGACACCCTCTGGCCTGGAGGGATGTCAGTAGCAAGTGCTCCACCCTGCTCGGATGACTCTATTGAAGGCTTGTGTGTGTTCTCTTCCCCCTCACAGCAGCCCTGACCAGAGCAATAAAGGTTTCCTGAGACCTAGTTTCACCAGGAGAGAAAATCTGCCATATTGAGCTACCACTGACCTAGCTTTTGGGGAGCTGAGGGCACTGAGCCCCCTCTGCCCACTAGGCCTTGGCTTGTCGGTGTGGTTGGGCTTCATGTCTGGTCCAGCTCTCACTTTCCTGGGAGTTGCAGCCCTGTTCCTAGCCCTTTGCCCATATCATTTGCCCTTCTGCCAGATCATGTCCCTGCCATCCAGAGTCAAGCTTCATGTCACCATATCCTTTAGACACTGTGTGTCGACCCTATTAACCCCTGGCCCTCCCCCACTCTGAAGGGAAGCCCTTGCCTAGTCACTCACACACCCACATCTCACCTGTTCCCAGAATTCTCTGCTTACCCCCACATGATTGAGATCCCAGCATGCTTTGCACCCCTCTGAGTTAAAGCTCCTGGACCACCCTCCTCTCCTAATGGGCACTTACCAGCCCACATTGAACTCCACATGGGCATCGAAGAGTGCCACCACAGGGGCAGTGGCCGCCCTCCAGCCGCTGACCCGGGAGCGGATGAGGCCCTCCTGCTTGCTGTGGCGCACGACTTTGATGAAGCCTGGCTTCTGGCCATTCACCTTGTCCACGTACTCTGTCAGCTTCTCCTTCAGCTCCTCTGTGGGGGAGAAAATGTATTGTTAGCATAACGGGAACGATCAAAACATTCCCCCTGTTGTGGAGAAATGACCCCCAGAGAGAGGCTGGAGGGTCCATTTCCCTCCGGGTCTTCCTTGGTGTTCCAGTGCAGCTCAGCTTTGAAGGGTAAAATAGAGGTGAAAATAGCATTTATGGAGCCCAGCAACTTGCATAGAATCGCATGCCTACACACATTGACAATTTAATCTTTACAAGGAGCCCATGGGAAAATAAGGCTCAGAAGGGTTTATGAACTTCTCCAATGTCAATGAGAGGCAGCGTGTGCTTTTAAGCAGGCTCTAATGGTGGCAAAAAATACATTCTTCCCACCAGCTCCTTCCCCCAGGGACCTCCACAGCCCTCCCTCAATCCCTAAGGAAGGCTGCATCTTCGGAGATGGCCACCCAAGACCCACTCCTGCTGGGTCTCCATCTCTCCGGGACGTGCATGACCAGGAGCTGTGCCCAGCATTGGTTTGCTGCCCGCTGTTGCTGGGCCTGGCTACACATCAAGTCCCCTGCTTCTTCATAATTGTAAATGGGGTCTGAGCAACTGAGCAGGGCCCCTCGACTCTCCACTGGGGAGAGCACAGCATCCACGTCCATTGTGTGCTCCATAGCAGCGCAGGCAACAGCTTATGAGGACCCTGTTCCCCCAAATGATGACCTGAATGGGCCACATTCTCCCACCTGTGACCACAGCTCCTCCCCAGAACTTGAGGCTCACTCTTTTCCTGTGTTCTCAGCACCTGCCTCTCAACCACCCTTCCTCCCATCTTCTCAGCCAGGCCCTGGACAGACCCACCTGGGCTGAGCCTCCTTATCAGAGAATAAATGGTAGGAGCTCCATGTCTCTTGGTACCCAGTCTGGGCCCCACATGTAAGCAGCCCACTAGGCTTGAGAAAAGGGCACAAAGCAGCTGGCAGATGCATGATAGGTGTGTCTCATGGCAGCAGCAGAGTGAAAATAATCACAAAAATTTGTCAAACAAATTTTTTTAGTAGGACAGTGGTTAAGAGTCAACAATACCGCATTGTACGTGTGCTTTACTAAACCAACTCTGGATGTCCTTGAGGAAATTTGGGTGGAGTGGGTTTATTTTGCATATGGGAAGGACATGAACTTAGAGTGACTATAGGGTGAACTGTTATGGGTTGAATTGTGCCCCTCCCCCCAAAAAATATGCTGAAGTCTAATTCACCGTACCTCAGAATATGACCTCATTTGGAATCAGAATCTTTGCAGATTTAGCCAAGTTAAGATAAAGGCATTAGGTCCTAATTCAATATGACAGACGGGTACGGAGTTAGGCATGCACAGAAGGAAGTCAGGTGAAGCAGACACAGAGAAGATGCCATCTGCCAGCCAAGGAACACCTGAGGTCACAAGGCACTAGGAGAGAAGCCTGGAAGACCCTTCCCTACCACCTTTAGTGGGAGCATGGCCCTGCCTACTTCTCTAGTGTGCACTCAGGACTGAGAGACAATAGATTTCCGTGTTCACAGCCACCCTGTTTGTGGTGCTTTGTACTTTGTAGTCCTAGAAAATTAGGTTGTTATGAGGATTAAGTGGAATTGATGTATGAAAAATGCATAACACATAGTAAATGCTAAAAAAAAAAAAAGAAAAAAAAAAGTTAGCTCCCTCCTTCCGTCCTCACAGTTTCCATCACTGGGAGTTGTGAGGGATGGAGATCCATCTCTGGTTGACAAGGCCTTCTTCATAATCCCTCACCCAGAACCATCTCTTCCTCCTCTGCCCTGACCCCAGGTGAGCCGTCTGCAAGCAACAAGGCCATGGTGGCCAAGCAGAAGATATGAACATGTGCAAGGGCCTCATGCCAGGAGGACAATGAGGCATAATGGGCACTGCCAGAATGGTAAGCCCTCCTATAGACATGGACTTCAAATCCCTTTGCACATGAAACTTCCCAAACCAAAGGCCTGGATGGATAGACCCTCTGCTTGAGTTATCAGAGCGGAGGTGAGAAAACTGGGCATCCAAGGCAGAAATGCTGAGAGGGAGGCAGGAGACTCTGCTCCTGGACAGCTACTAACCTGCTCTGTGACCGTAAGCAAGTCTCTACAAATCCCAAAACCTCAGAGTTAGTTTGACAGGATATAAAAGTTCGTTTTGAACCAATTACCCATCAAAGGTGTGAATCCCTCTGTCTATCCTGATGAGCGATCCTCCAGCCCATCCAGTGACAGGGTCATTCCTCATGGGGCTACTCCAACTATGAAATATTCTTTTTTCTTTTGCCCTCAAGTGCCAGGGTCTCTCAACCTTCCACTCGTTGGCCCAAGCCTTATTTTGTGGCCACAGAGGGCAGACCACGTTCCTTTTCCATAAGACAAGCATTTCGAGTTGAAGACCATCCTTCAGGTCTTGCTGAGGATTTCTCTAGGTCAAACATCTTTAGTTCCTCCTCATATTTCCTCATATATCATGAGTTCAAGGTCTTATATAATCTTGAACGTCCCTCTAAATATGTTAGTTTTTCTCTAACATCTTTAATCTATGCACCTAGAAATCGGCCTAATACTTCTGGAGTAAATTGGGCTATACAGAATAGAGGGAACTAATCACCTGTTATATCCCAGACTCTATGCCCCTATTCTTGTAGTTTAAGGTCACCTTACCTTTGCTTACTTCAGACTCAAAGTGAGTTTACTGGAAACAAACACCTACAAGTTCTCTCCACATGGTGCTGCTAAGTGAAGCCTCCTCATCCTGTCTCTTCATGTGTGGGTGGGAGCATGTATTCATGCTTGTGTTTGTGTGTGCACATGCATACGCTGAACCGAAACATAGGGTTGTATGTTTACTTCTATTTAATTCACTTTAAAAAAGATGGATATTGTTTATCCAAAGTCAAAATGTTTCCCTGCCTGATTCTGTTATCCAATATCTGCTGTCTAGCCCTTCTACTTTTCCAGCTTCTAAAAGTGATGAGCCCATGCACTTAATTCTCATTCAAGTCATTCTTTTAAACAGTGTGACCCTGGTCCAGATCTAGGGCCAGTGGGGGCTGTCAGGCATTCTCATTCCAGCCCAGAGAAAATCCAGTTGACTTTTCTGCTGCCACCAACACACTGTACAGCTCACTTTAGCTGATTTAAAAATGACCCCGTGATCTCGGATTGAACAGCTGACAGGGAGGCCCGGGGATGCCACTGCCTCACAAATGTCAGGAAGTTGGCCTCAGAGCAGCATAACTCAGGGTGCCTCGTGCGTCCTGGTCTTCATGTATGGTTGACAAGGAGGCCTCTTAAAACGCTGTGTCATCACTTCGAAGTCCACCCCTCGTATGTCCTTCTTGAGAACGTTAAATAGGAGCTCATAAAGCCCTATATTTAACAGCTCACAAAGCCTGATATTTGTAGAGTATTTGGAGTGAGAACTGGGTGGTAACTCACTCCACAGGTGAGAGTCACTGCCTGTGGGGACCACTTCTATGGTGTTGATGGGACAGGGCTCCGGATGACTGCCCCAAATGACCCCTCAAGACCCCCACCTCTCTGAATTCACAGCTGTGCGTAGCTGCCTCGCACACTGACTGGGCTGACCCTGTCACAGGGTTCAGCAGGAGGGACCTCCTGCCAGTCCCAGGCCTTGGGAGGCCTGTGGCTTCTGCTTTCCTTCTCTGGCTGCCCTAAGTGAGGAAGCCGGAGCCAGGCTCCTTGTGGATGAGAGGCCCAGAGAGGCCCCAGCCATTGAGTACCCCACAGAGGTCCCAGACATGTGAGTGAGCCACCTTGGATCTTTCGGCCACGGGCTCTCTGTGAACATAGGGAACCCGGCTGACATCTCATAGAGCAGAAGGGAACTGCCTTTATCGCAGAATAAGGGCTCCAGCCCTTATTGCAGAATTATTGCTAATGAATGGTTGCTGTTTTAAGCCATTAACTTCTGGGGTGGTTTGTTAGACACAAAGGCTATCAAAACAGCATCTATTGTTCTGGTGTGAGGCCGGGGTTAAAATAAAATTGTGAACTCCTGGGGCACAGGAAATGAATCCAGACACAGAAGAGCCAGCTAAGAAGGTGGCAGCAAGAGATGAAAAGGCTTTGTTTCTCATAGGAGCTGCTTGCCCCTTTGTATCTCTGAGCTCTGTCAAGAGTGAACTAGAATAAAAGTTTCTGGTACATCAGCTAGAGAAAAATCCTGTTCTCAGAGAGCTACATCCCAAACAGGAGCTGCTGATTAGAAGAGAGATTTCCCTTAGCTCTAACCAAACAACTGGCATAAAAATTTTTTAAAGGCCTATAATACCCTGGATAACACTGGCTCAGTCTTTTCAAAACCCCTTTGCCTAATAAGGTTTTCATTTTTTTCCTTCAACCTTGGTAAACTGCCAAAGCAAAAAAAATCTCAAGAGTACTTCTATATTTGTTAGGAAACTATTGTATAAGATAATATTACATATTATACATAATATGTGATAAATACTTCTCAGAACTTAACTCAAAAGGCATATAAAAAACTTTACTTACCTAAACTCAGACTCATAACCCATCATATTTACCTTTTTGCCAAGGCTGCCAGGAAGCTCAGAGACAAATATAATGACTGATCTATGAGCATTTTTGCTTCTCTAACTTTGCTAAAGATTTGATTTTCAAGTGGTAGCCTAAAAGCTACATTGTCTTTTACCTTTTTTTCCCCCTACATAAACTGCCTTTCATTATTTTTGAAATATCTATAAATAACTTTTAATAAAATGTCTTCGTAGAACATGACAGGGGTATAATTGTGGAAAGAAAGGGAAGGCTGTATTTCATGTTTGTTTTAATGTGTTGAGGAAAGGGGAGGTGGGAAGTCTGCTCTCGGTGACTTTGCCAAATTTAGAATCAATGGCAGAGCTGTAGATAACACCAGCTCTAACAAAGAAATACAATTTGCGCCCTGCATGGGGTCAGGTGTTATCCTGTTTATATCGCTCCACCAGCCCTCGCCTGCTGTCCACAAATCCCTGTT